CAGCTGTAGCACCCTTTCGGTGCCTAGCTGCCATGCCACATGAAGGAGGCACGAGGGCTGGGATACTGCCAGGTCGCCCAAGCCTAGACAGGGGAAGTCGAGTGGCAGAGGTCGGGTTCGAACCACGGACCTTCCGGTCAGTAAATTCGCGCTCTAACCACTTGAGCCATTTCGACCCCGAAAACAACCGCTATATTTCAACAAAGTTAACGAATGTGACTTAGCACACATAAAGTGCTTTTGCACGTGTCGGTATCGGCCAATTTAACATGAAGCGGCAGGCTACAATTGAGCAACCTATCAGTATCCCAGCCCTCATGCTTCATTCGGAAGACAAGGCAAGTAGATACCGGAAGGATGTTACAGCTGAACGATTTTGATTATCTTGACTTTAGTAGAGGGTAGTAGACAGTGAGACACTGGCAAGGACGCTGTTGATTCGTGAAAACCACAACACGCAAGCAGTTTGACATAGGGGACGGACATACTCATTATGCATCGGAATGAAGTGAACCCAGGAAAGGATGAGAAAAGCACAGGCAAGTTTTCAATAGAACGAAAGTCGAGAAAGAAGAGACTTACTGGGCGGTGAATACATCAGCAAACTTTTTGTAGCTGTCTGTTTGTTTGCATAGTTTCAGCAACGTGGCTCGAGCGTCTCCAGCTTCGTACACTTCCTTAAAATGGGAAGGTGATGGAAGGCAGTGAGATATGGAAGGGGTTTGCGGTGTTGTGGGTGCGAAAAAAAGTTGGTGCCGCAAAAGTTGCGACATTTTCAAAAGTTGAATGTCATGGGATTTCGTATCCAAGTGGGACCTTGGACACAATCTGTTATATTTCTATTTCGTTTACGATCAACACCTTTCCTAATCTGTAAAGACTGATGGCTAGCTGAGGCAAAAATCGCAGCAAACAATTCTTTCAAATCAAACATCCTTATGACCTTTAGTTCAAATTGATTACGTATGCAAGCCTTTGTTTTACTGACAGGACACTTCGTCACAGGGATTTCGATTTCTCGAAAGCCACTTAAACAACCAGAAGAAGCCGCAAAAACATCCAGAAGAAGGGGTCCAACTTACCCAATAAGACTGATTCAAAATCATGTTGTCGATCCGAAAGTGCCGCGTCAGTCGTTTCAGGAAGGCGTCAGACTTTTTTCCACCTTTTGAGAGAATAACTGATGGACGCACGGCCAAAGCAACCTCTTTTTCGGTCGGTTCACCTTTCTGTCAAGGAGAGGATGCCAAGTATTTATGAGAGACAGTGAGTAAAAAGGATGCAGTAAACTATACCAAGAAGTGGTTTACTGTCATCCAGCCTGCTGAGCCTCTAGCTTTACCAACAATAGCATCGAGGATGCTTGCTCTTCGCTGCATTTGTACGCTTGGGTTTCATATGTGATGCCTTGGAAAACTTAAAGGTACCTTTCATCGATGTCGTCGTCATAAATACCAATCAAATAGGCAACCGAGTTGTCTGTCTCAACCCGGGGAGTGAAATGGTTCACCTAGTTAGTTTAGTAAAGGGATGGTTTGAGTTACCTTCAGTCCAGGCGCTCGAAGGGTTGTATAACTGCATTTCCGAGTATCAAGGCTCATCATCGAGGCTAACATCAGTGTTCAACACTGAGGCTTCACTACCGTAAACCAGAATCTATTTAAAAGCCCTATGGTGAAGAGAAGAGTAAAAGTGGACGGGCAACGGACTTAGCGATGGCATACCACGATCATTCTGAGGTCCCCACACCGCCAGACACTCATTCGGACAGTCTGGATAGGGAATGACAACGCCACTAACATCGATTAGCAACCATATCTTGTAGCGTCTCGAACCATGAAGTGTGAAGACCACGCGGTCTCCAACTTGGAAAACGAGTCGCACCAGTAGCACCCAGACTTTTCGTAATCTCTTTCATACCCGTCTACCAGGTCAAAAACTGACCACCTCTCTGCTAGAGCCACTCTGAATTGGGCACAGAAAACAGCATTCTATTCAGCAAACGACGACTCGGCATGCGCAATATGCGGCTAATCACCGCACATTCTGATTCTAAACACCTTTTTTGATGGAAGTCTCCATTGCACAACTAAACACTCCCTTTCTGATTGTCTCGTTGTGAATTCGCCAGTACAAGCATTCACGAACCACAGTTCTAAAAAAATATCCAAAACATGGAAAAGTCTGAGTTCGGCTGCTCGAAGGGGTCACGTTTCACAGACGTACAACAACAACAACAGCCCGTGCTGCAACCTGACACTCAAGTCCTTTGAGATTCAGGGGCATGCCCCTTTGCCGGCGTAGGTGTCTGAAATTAACCGACGCGCCCAAGTCATAGATTTGTCCATTGGCTTTATCTGTCACACCACAATCGGAACCAACACAACATCGAAGATATGTAAAAAGTCTCAAAATCTCGAGTGCCGCTCCTTGGATTGTACAAGGCGTGTTGAGTTACTGCATGTCCAGAGGCATGACCTTAAACCTTGTGGATGAAGAGAGCCTCCCAGAGAACAGGATGACTTTGATCAGTTCATCCAAAAACATCCAAAACAATGTCGCCTGCATATTCCAGATCGATAAGGTTTGTGTTAGCAGCTATTTGAAAGCGAGTTTTGAAAGAATCAAGGTTGTTGGGGCATCAACAGATACAGCGAATGAGTAACGAGCGTCAGCGTGCTGGCAGGATGTTCTCACAGAAGCTGCCAGATGAACCGCGCAGAGATAGTAGTTAACGAGTATTCTAGAAAGCGGACCTCATTTTCCTGGATGACCTGAATCCATGTATGACTAGCTGCGACGGCCTCTGGATCATTAATGGTGTGCAACAACGAGCGACAAGAGAATGACAAGATGGTTGAGTCAGCCGTCGCACTGGAGTATTCGATGTGTTTCAGATAAACAGGTCCAATGTACGGATTGAAGAAGCCAGTTGTTCAGTTTTTCTTAATAAAATGCTGGAATCAGCCGTGAAAACTAGATGTAAATGTGATCGAATGTTGGCAAGATGTTGAAGTCGACGACAAGGCAAAACGGACACACCTATCATTCTTTACCTATGGGTCTACAAAAGAATTACGATCATTGCGATGAGGTGGAGGGAAAGAACGATTCCGAGACAGAAGGGAGACATCAGAAGTAGTCTGTTTTCGCCCACTCACTTTGGTGTATATTGCAAGTAAGGCGGATATCACGCCGCGAGTTCATTTGGGATTGTGTTGCTGGCTGTTGTACGTAAGCTGGAATACCAACAGTGTGCTCCTCCCTAAGCAGAAAGCAATTGGGCTAATAAGCCTGACGGTAAGCTAAAGGTGATCGATGTGAGAATACCAAGGTTCAACTTTTATGGGATAAGTGACCACACATGATTCAACTTGGTGGACCAGAAGACTGTTAATCAAACCTCTTCTAGTGAGCAGTGGGTACGGAAAACATTGAATTTAACATAGGCACCACCCAGTACAACTCAAGCCATCGAATCGGCCTCGGTGTGATGAGAAGAACAGAAAGTAGTTTGAGATTTTACGTGTCCTTTTAAGATAGAATCGTGTCAATCTTTGTTGTTTTCGTGTACCACCGAAGCAGAGGAGTACACATATTAACGCTACCTTGCCGGTTCCGTTATGGATAGGTGTGTAACAGTATGTCAACTGCACGACGGATAGACCTCGCTGTTTAAGTTTGGGAAGTAACGTATAACTCAAAAGGCAAAGGCACGAGAACGAAAATACAGACGCTTTGTCGACCGAGGGGAGTGCGGATTTCCCGACTGTATCTACCAGCAGAAAACTAACATAAAATCAAGCGCCAGTTGAACGACGTATAGCAAAACAAAAATGGCTGGGATGAAAACTCTGTGAAGTAAAGCCCGCACCGGAAATCGTAAAACAAATCACAATAAGAACTTCAATCACGATTTGAAAACGTGTGGAAACCATCACAGATGCCGTATCGACGAATCTGGTTCACCCAGAGCGATCAATTAACTGGGTGTATGTTATATCGCGCTCGGTAGCCATTTCTTGACGACCATAGTGCATACCCATTCCTGACGATAATTCGTGCAGCTATTTGCAGGTTGGCTGTTTCAGAACCCAATTTACGGAAAACATTTTAAAGAACATCTGTTGCAAATGATGTGAACAGCTCCAGCCTAACAATAAAAAACATAATAAAGGTCTCAGATTCAACTAGAAAGGCACTATACGGGAATGTGAACAAGTTACTTCGATTGGCACTTACAACATCTTTGGCGGCTTGTGGCTCAAACCAACCGGTAGCGGAAGACAATGGAGTCTGTGTTGTTAGACTTCGATTCGCACCCTTCGGTGGACTAGCAACCGGACTGATTTGCTCTTGGAATGGTATTGGAGTGGCCTGTTTGCGGAGAGAAATAGAAAATTAAGATGTAAAATCAAGTTTCGTTTGTTGTATCCTGGACGACAGCAAAGTATGGTCGTCAAATTGAATGCATCCTACAAATTGATGTGAGGGGAACCTAGTCCCAGAAAAAAGATATTCTGAGGTGCAACATTCAGCTGACGATGAAGTCGATAGGGAGTCACAGTGCATGACAGATACCTAGTTAGCAGAGTTCGATAAAAACGAAGCAGGAAGATAAACACAGTCACGAACATGATCATTCTCAAATGATTGAACTTCTGTAAAGTAACATAAGCACAAATACCCCCTAGATCGAAAGCAGTCTTTTCTGGGGGTCGTCTCTCCCTAGGGACACGAGTGAACATTAAAGGCCTTTCCATTACAAACAGCGTAGAGGGATTTAAGACAAATCGTTTTGTTTTGGAAGGACAACGGAGTATTATCGAGTAAACATAGTGTGGGAAGACTGATTAGACTGTTCAGGGCCCACATACTTTAACTGCGAACTGGAAATATTCCGATATGTGAGAACTATCCCTGCATTTCAGCGGAGCGCAAGTCACTGTGATCTCGAAGCACATCTACGCCAGACAGAAATCTGTAGGTGGCGTATACTATGGAAGGATTAAAAGAATATGAAAGAATCAGCGATCAGACCAACACGTACCGAAGGAGCATACTTTCGCGGTATGAAATCCTTCGGCGAAAGTAAACTTGAAAAGCCACTACTATCCGACGAAAAATGCACCAGTGTGGCCATAACAAGTTTTACCGACTTCCGCGAAGGGGTCTTTTCATACGACCGCGTGAAGGGTGGGAACGAACCAGAGGCGGTCAAACAATGACTTGGCAGCGAAGTTTAAAAAGACATTACCAGCAAACTCAGCTGTGCTGGTGATTGCCGCTTCCCTGGATGGGGGCTCCGAGACGGGCCATACAAACGGTTAGAAACATGGCCCGGTCGCGACCTCAATAGCGCCCGTGCATCCAAGCTATTGCCTTCAATGCATAGATCCCTTCCGAAGTCCCTCAATTAACAGTCTACTGACAGTGTTTACGCTCCAATTCATCAGCTCCCGCCTCCATGCGCAGCTACCTACCCACCTCCTCAAATCAGCGGTGGATGTGGCAGCTACAACCACTGTACGACAAGCACGCGGTTCTTACAGCTGACAGGTCTTGAAGTCATTGAATCACAACATGATTACCATCGTTGAGAGCGTCAACAGTGTGAGATAACACTAATGATAAACTACGTACAACTGACCCGATTCGCCCAACTAAATCGACACGATAGAGAGGACAACAATGGGAAATGGAAAGGGGCCTGAGGTGTTCAAATCTCCAAATCATCGTTCGATCTAAAAAGGGACCGAAAACACGAAAGCCATCCATTTGCTTGCCAACCATACCTTGCGACGCCTCCACAAAAAACACAGACGGGACTCCATATCGGGATGTGGACTGCATCTAAAACATTCATGATTTTTGTAACAACCAATTTAAACAGGGAATCTGCACTCAAAGGCTAAACAAGTGGAATATACTTAAGTACCTTGGGAGGGAGGCATCTGCAATAGGCAGTTATTTAGCACACTAAATATTCCAATAGGTATGATCTGAAACAATAAAAAACATACACCTGCGTGATTCACGGGGTTGATCGTCTGACTGGTTGAAGTTCAAGCAAGTTTGTATCAATATGTGATGGGGACGAAACCAATAATTACGCTTAGATATGCAGAAGTCTCCATACTCTCGCTGAGTAGCCAGAGTAACCCAGTTGTTCTCATAACTGAAACATAGACCGTATTAAGATCAACTTCATTCTTCAATGCCACGGCTAAGGTTGATCGTTCGCGCAAACCTCACCTCCGCAAGGTAAACCGGATAATCCGACAGCATTGATAAAACAGAATGTCTATAGTTAGTTCCTAAGCGAATAGTAGCTCATTAAGGGAGATGCTATTGGGGATCTCTGTTTTACGATCGGAACAGTTTTGTTTATAAGCAACGTCATTTTCCACACTGAGCAACAAGCATTCTGTGGTCAGTTTGCATTCAGTAGGAAACAAAAAAGTTAATTGGATGTCATCTACTCAGTAGAGGAAGCGACGACCCGACGAATGATTTGAGATAACTGCGAGATTATGAGTGCATGGTCCCATATATCAGATCTGGATCCAAAGGCTGAATAGTAGGTACACGCCAGGAGTGTTGCTGCTACAGATGAATCCTATTTGCTTTAGATGATAACGGCGCACACAATCGATTGGGCGAAATAGCTGAACAGCTGGTAATTGTTCACCTCTGATTGAACATGAAGGGTTCATTCGGTACCTGTTGTTACCAACTACGGCGATTGCTGCAAGCGGTCCACAGAATATGGGGGCCCAGAAAGACTATCGATATGCCTTGGGCCAGGAATGAGTCGATCTCCTAAGCCTGGCTGATAACGTGTTCGGAAAGAAGTGTTTTTATAAATAAAAAATTATCTTCTGCGGCTATTGTTTAGGAAAGTCATCTGCCTCGTCTAATAAAACCATCAGTTTTCTGAGAAATCGCTTACGTTCATTCATATTCTTCATACCTACACCTATCTTAGGAAGCACGATCTGTTTATATTGAGTTTGTGAAGAGGAATGGGAGGGCGAAATCCCCTGCGGAGAACTTTCATCAGTCCATTAGGACTACAGATGATGCAACAGATTCCGCAGGTCACTTCATGTATTCTCTCATCCACAAAAATTTGAGACGACGTTAGATTTCTGTAACCATGTTACTCGGACTAGATGGTCCTGTGATATCAAACAAATTAATGAGTTCCTGAACTCAAGAAAACATACAGAAATACCAAATTCAGGATCGTTTTTTGACAGGAAGAACTTTGGCATATAGAAAAGATAGTGTGCCTCGCAAATAGCCCAACGGACCGTACCGGAAGGTTTTCCAGTGAAGCGATACGGACGACACGCCTTCGACGGATAGCCGTAGGGCTGTTACCAAATTGACAGTCTGGTCCAGGAGTGCTACAAAAAATGTTTGTCTTTGCACGAACATCCTCTGACCGGTGAGCTGACTCCACGTCAAGATGACTGCTGGAGTTACCTATTAGGGGGGGGGGGGGAAAATGCTCGACCAGAGGAGGTGAAAATGCTCGACCAGATGAGGCATACCTATAGAGAGCTGCTTGAATCTGAGTGCCATGGAATGCGGGTGACTATTTTCCTTGTTACTTCCTGCATCCACAACCAGTTCGTGTCGCTCGTACGAGGAAAAATCCGGTAGCCTCGAAACCATCGCAGAAATATGCTCCTTCTGATGACTGACTTGCAAAGAGTGTTGCCTACGAACTCTGTACATGAAGTCATGTAAGATATGGATCGAAATTACAAACTCTCACCTTGCTCTGGTGGCATAAGATCCAAATGACTGAGTATCGTTGGGATAATCGAATTTGGGAGGCTGATTTTGGTCCAAACTGGCAAACAGATCGCTCACGCTGGTTTGGTACTGAAGGGAACATGAAACAGCCCACTGAAGAAACTTACTGCAGACCTGCGAGCCATTCTAACGAAACTGAAAAGAGAAAACGGGCAGTGAAAGCTTCTTTTACCATGAAGATAGAATGTCTTTAAACCGGAGTTCAGATGTTGGGGGCGTGGAGTTCGTCTAATAACCAGTGTGGGTAGTCATGACTGATGGCTACAATTAATCCTTCATTTGCTTTTCCAAGTGTGAAATTCATGCCCTTCAGGTAGCATCCGACAGTCGAGATGGCTAAGCGGTTAGAGCGCAAATTTACTGACCGGAAAGTCCGTGGTTCGAACCCGACCTCTGCCTCTCGACTTCCCCTGTCTAGGCTTGAGTAACCTGGCGGTATCCCAGCCCTCATGCTTCCCTCTGGTAGCATGGCAGTAAGACATCGAAAGGCTGCTACAACTGAACGATTTTAGCACTCAAATTTGGCGTTATCAGTGATGAGCCAGGTTACAGTGACTATGACTACATTTGTTAATTCACTGATACGTGCCACGTCATCCATGCTGCATGCATGGATGCACAACACACAACTCCTGGTTATGTAATAATGAACAATAATAATCGTTCGGCCGTAACACCCTTCCGGTGCCCAGCTGTCATGCCATCCGAAGGAAGCACGAGGGTTGGGATACTGCCAGGTTGCCCAAATCCAGACAGGAGAACTGCGGAGGTCGGGTTCGAACCATCGACCTTCCGGTCAATTAACTGAGCTACCTCGACTATATGTATTCCAGCCTAATATAGGAAAACCCCAGGCTGTAAACGACAACAATATTTTTCTTGGATCTACATGATCTTCACTTCCAGTCACTTTGTGGCTGTCAGCGCCAACATGGTTATCTAAACTTCCGGTGACCCTGTCTGAAGGAATGAGTTCTGATGTATGTACTCCTTTAAATCACCTAAACCAAGACCGGGCGGCTCAGTCTTGGTCGGTTATCCACATCAGTAGGCCTCTTCTCTTAGTCCTGCTTTTGAGTTTAACGACATAGAAGTAGCATTGCCAGTCTGCGCCGTTCCATTTCCTGTTAATCCCGTGTATTGGACGATCAAGTCTGTTGGACCTTTTGCTCTCCTTACACTTCGCAAGATGAGCGTGAAATAGCTCAACCAGTGAAGAACGAAGTTGCTGGCCGTGAGGTTTGGTCTAACCTAACCCTGGCTTTTCAAATAATCCTGTCTAGGCTTGGGCAACCTGGAAGAAACTCAATCCCTTGGCTCCTTCGAGTTGACTGCAGCTACATGTCGAAAAGTAGAAGCATTTAATAGATGCAATTAATTTGTTATTTAAAATGGTTTGCTTTTTTGAAGAATCTGAACCAAGGAGGACAATATCGTCTGCATACTCAATGCCTGTGAGCAAACATCCCGGGAGCATTTCGACCCCCGGTTTTGTGACAAGCAGATAAATTTCAATCAGCAAATCAATAACAAGTTTTAAGTGGAAAAGCGACAGAGGACAGCTGTGCATTGTCCTACGGGAAGTCAGGAAGTCAGTCGAAAGCTTGTCCTACAGTCGTATTTGTTTACATGAGTCTGCATACAGTGCCATCGAAAGGGATATAAATTTTGCCGGGATGCCTTGGATCGTTAGAAAGTACCTAATTTTCTGGCGGTCAAAAGCCAACAGCAGCTTTCAGATCCAGAAAAACTAACAACAGAGGAAGCTTGAATGGGTGGCGCTGTTCAAGAACTGGTTCTAATGTAAAAATATGGTCGAGGCATCCTGGGCTTGGCAGAAACTCGGCCTGCTTTCCCCGAGGGCGCAAAATAATGCCACAGCACCTTAGATGGGACGGCTACCAGACTGGTGACACGGTGGTTTCTGCATGAAGCTCTTGCACTCGTTCAGCTGTAGCACCCTTTCGGTGCCTAGCCGCCATGCCACCGAAAGAAACTTAAAGACTGGAATACTGCCAGGTTACCCAAGCTTAGACACAGGAAGTCGGGAGACAGAGGCTGGGTTCGAACCACGGACCTTCCAGTCAGTAGAAGCGTGCTTTAACCACCTGAGCCATCTCGCCCCCACTCAACACGTCCTCTTTGAAGAGTGGAATGATGGTGATGAGGCCTAATTTAACTGGCCTTCTGCTTTCGCCTAAAATATTCTGCACTATGGCCGTCAGACTGTTCATAAGGACTTCAACCTCTTTGCTGAGTGCGGGTGCCTTGCCGTGTTGAAGGAGTGATAGCTCATGCTAGATTTCTGTTCTTGACGATGGGTCGGTATTGATGTTCCATTTCGGCCCTCTGGGTTTTTCCAGCACTTGTGTTCAAGGAAACAAGTTGAGCTTTGTAGTGTTTAGTCCATCGCTCAAGAGAACAATTGGAGGAATGAGCTGCCGTTCCGTGTCTTTAAAGGTTCGTTTCCCCGACATGTCTTCCATTGGTGGTTTGATTAAATCGGCTGAAACAGGGTGCGTCTGTTTCAGCGGAAGTTTCTTCCATCTCATGGGCCTTCGCAATTCACCAGCGTCTTTTGTCAGTCTTCAAGGCTATTGATTACCAGGTGTTTGAAGAAGCTATGTGCGCCATCACATGTTGTTGACATGGCTCTTCTGGCAGCAATAATATATGCTGATTCGTGATGCTGCTGATATCCAGTGTTGTCAAATCGGTGGCTTGGAAAGTAGTTCTGGAAACTGAGAGCTTGGCGTCTCTAACTTGCTTCCATTGAATCTCCAAGCAACCTTCGTCATCCGCATGACTGTACTTCCAGTAGATTTCTCGTCAGATCAGCTCGATATCCTTGAGCAGTCTGTGACCTCCGAGTATCTCGAGGTGAGCGAAAGTTGTGCTGTAAGTTGATGTTGACGAGGAACTGCAATAACGGAATTTTCCCAGCCTGGTTTTCGGTCTGAACATTCCAAAACAGGTTTCTCGCCAACAGAACCACCAAAGGTGCACCAGATCAAAAACATGTACAGATAGATAGATCGTGGAAGGCGGAAATATTTGAGAGATTCTGGCGTTTTCTGGATACAGCATTGGCAACCGGCATCTGGCAGATACTCGGTTATTTTGCCTGTTGGGTAAGGATTTTTGGCCAATGAGAGCTCGCCTTACGGCTGGGACCGGCAGGTGGCCCGTCACCTTGGCCAATCACGTGCGGAATAGGCTTTATGGCCGTAGGAGCGCCCGACGATGTCGGAATCGGTGCGGGATTCTGCATAACAGGAACAGACGATGATCGGCACACAAGCGGAGCAGTCGCACCCCATTATCCTTATGCTGAGTATCTGTCTTAAGCCTGCCACATAACTGTTCGCCTTCCGGGCCTAGTCGTCTAACTTGGTCGTTCGTATCGCCTGTCAGGATCACTATACTCGTCCTTCTTGACGACCGGAGGAGTCGCAATAGGTGTCGATCGAACCCAACTTTCTGTCCCAGAAACTCACTCTGATATGACAAATACAAAACAACATTTACCGCATTGACCAGCATTTATCTTAATTGTACCAAACAACCGCACAGCACAAAGACCACTGGAATCCAGCCCATTAAGGTGACTTCAGCCTTCGGGCCGAAAGTAACTCACACAATAGATACCACGAGCCATTCCGTCAACAGTGCCAGATACACCAGGTTAAACTTGGAATATTAAAACTGGTCCTGAGCTGCTCGGTTTCAACGACCGTTGGCGCCGCATATGCGTGTTTTAGAGACAAGATACACACCAACAAATTGGGAAAGCGAGGTTTAAGCACGGAGATAGCTACGTGATTGACAGAAAGGCCAATCGTAGTGTATCGTTAGATTGGTGGAGAGAGAGGGGTGGGGAGAACCGATGGGTTAAGAGCTGCCATAGGTAATCCATGGTTGCCCAAGCCATAAAGGGGTGTTTTTGGGGTAAAGACAAATAAATCGTTCGCCTAGCTGCCATGGCTCCAAAAGGAATCACGAAGTTGCTTTGGTTGCCCAGGTTTCCAAAACCTTGTGCAGAGAAGTCCAGGGGCAGAGGTCAGTTCCTAACCACGGACCTTTAGGTAGGTAAATTTGCGCTCTAACCACTGGGTCATCTCATCCCCTACGGTTAGGCTACCCCACTTTGGGCAGTTGACACAAAAACCCGATCCAATTGGAGGTGGGAGAATGAATAGAATGCATATTAACGGTTTGCTCTCCGAGCATCAGGTGACCTAGAAACGGCCTCAAGTGTTCTGTTTTGTAAACATTTGATTGAGTGGTGGAGCTCAGGACATCGTGTTTGATTGGACTTCCGGGAATAGCAGATTGTATATAACCAAGCCGGGTCTGTCGTAATTCGCAACTAACAACCCTAACAGGCCGTGCCTAGACTCCCTTCTGCCCGAGGAAAGCATGGGAGCTAAGTTATTGTCAGGTTGCCAAGCCCTAGATGAGAACAGCTGAAGTCCCACAGATTTTCTGGTGATTTCGCCATCTGTGCCGGCTATCCAAGTTGGGCCAAGTGGGCAAGGAGTGTGTTCGTCCTTCGATAATCAGGCTTCGCAATTGCCAAAGAACATTTCACCGACTCTTAGTTCAATGCCGATTCCTTCCACAGGGGTGCCAATTATTTCCACACTGAAAAGTACAGGTTTTTGGCGAGGCTCCCTATAAGTACTTCGAATATCCTGATCACTAGACTGCCAATCCACCAGCTGAGGTATTTGACAAGGCATGGTGGCTATGTATAAGGGACAAAGCAAAATTACTTTGACCGCTTTTACAAACCAGCTTCAAGTTCCGATCGTTTCTATTAACGAAAAGCAACTTTGGCCCAGAAACGAGGGTTAAAGCTGAGCTGTCCTGTTCTGATTGACTGATATTATAGCCATTGAGAGCAGACGCTAACAGCCTCATCTAGCAAACGTCGATTAACCCACAAGTCTAATCCAAACGACCAATTGACGGAGAACTATCGCATCGGCACCGATGTTTTGGTATAATACAGCACCAGAAGAGGAATGAACTGAAAATTACTTTGCCAAAACATGAGAATTTTGCAGTGAGAAATTTTACAACTCTTTGTGTACACCGACTGTAATTCCCACTGACAAGTTACCCTAAGTAGTATGATTGAGCCGGAGAGTACCCACGGGGGGCATGTAAATAAAATTATACTAGAAAACAAACCGTAGGTGGTGAATAATACGCAAGCCAGCATTCTTATTAATGAGCCCCGCATAAGCCAAAAAGCGCGCGCATTCAAAATGAATTCTAGAACCACATAAAATGCCGCTCACCATTAGAACAATCGGATTGATTTATCGAAATCCACGGCATCTTCAGGCTTGCCACTCCATAGTGCAGAATTTCTATGTATAATGTATATGTTCTTGTATTCTTAAAAACCGTTTATTCCGACGATTTGTTTAAGTGGGCGAATCCTCAAGGTCAATAAACACCACCGACTGTGAATACGTTGCTTGATGATAAAAAATCGTGAATAGTTGAAAACATTGACCCACTTACAATAAACAGAACTTTCAGGTAGTTTTCCTCCGGAAAAATTTCGCTGAACATTCTAGAATCTAAATGACTTTTGAAGATGCAAAATATGCGAAGGTGCATTCGTGCAATCAAATTTCCTGCTGCCAGTTAAAATTCCGTAGTCCGCGTTAATTATTTGCCAAAACTCAGCAAGTTTGTTGGCAGAAATCAGAGTTTTCTATTATAGTTTGCGAATTATGCTAGGAAGATCTCGAGGTTTATCGATTAGGAACAAGGAACATGCGTCAATCATGCCGGACAGCTGAACGAACCTAACTGACGCACGCGACTAACAGCGCCTAGGGGTACATTATGCCTAGCTAACTAGCCACATAGAACCTAAGTAGATCATACAGGAAAACCGAACGAACCTAACTGACACACACGACTAACATGCGCCTAGGGGTACAATATGCCTAACTAACCAGCCACGTAGAACCTACGTAGATCATACCGGACAGCTGAATGAACCTAAATGACGCATACGACTAACACGCGGCTATGATTACACGATGTCGGAGGGCACCCATCCATCTGCACCGGAGAAAAGGCTCAAAATGGACGTCGTGAATTGTTCAGATATATTTGTCAGGTTGAAGTGTGCAAATGTCCTTCTGAGAGGCGCATTTTCTGCTTCATGAGGAGTGTTCGTTTGACTGTTGACCTCCTGAAACGAGAGGAAGATATAATTTAGGTTATCGAAATATCACATTAAGGCAGGCGGCCAACAAACTGGCAGAGATACCTACTTCAAGATGCCCTCCAGCGACTCTGTTGTCCTGGATGCATGTTTACACATATTCGGTATTCATGCAGTCGTGTATGCCGCTCGGCATTCGCACAATGGGATTGATTTCTCAAAAGCTGCGGCATTTTTAGGCTTGCCACTTCATAGTGTGGAATGTCTATGTATAATGTATATGTTCCTCTAATATTGAAAACCATCTAACATGGCAATTAGTTTAGGTGAGCGAATCCTCAAGGTCAATAAACACCACCGACTGTGAATACGTTGCCTGATGTAATAAAAAATCGCGAATTGTGGAAAACGTTGACTCATCTGGAAGAAACTTCCAGGTAGTTTTCCACCCGAAACAATTCCCTGATTATTCTAGAATCTACGTGGCATTTTGAGATGCAATGTACCTCAACCAACTTCACCTAATTTGTCTAGCAAATGCGTGTTTACTAGATCACGAGACTTACCTACTACACAGGCACACAAATACGTGACAAACGCTGTCCCGCCCGCAGCCCTGGCAGACGACAAGTCAGTTCCTGTCTTGTACGCATCGGGACAATTCATGTTTTATATACACGTCAAACTTTGCTATATATATTAAGAGACAACGCAGTCAACACACGCGGACTCGCACGAGCGCAGGGGAGCAAGGGGCCAGCCAAACACTATAAGTCCACGGACAATTATGGAACACGTGTACCAGCTATACTGCGAACAAAACACATTCCCGCTGTCCAGGTTTTCACCAAAAGACTCTCACATACGATGGGTTCCCTTTTGACTTGCTCCACATTCTATATTTCCTTTATTATGTACATGCTGCAAATCGCTTCTGTAAACTACTATCAACCACAGTAAAGATTATTATAAGTGTATATACCTTCTGAGTTGTATTATGGCTATCACCACCTGTGCACTAATACATTCGTGCAAAGAAAT